TTTATTTATTTATTTATTTATTTATTTATTTATTTATTTATTTATTTATTTATTTATTTATTTATTTATTTATTTATTGCTTCGGCAAGCAGGTTTGTTCAACATTGTCAATATAGGCTAATAATTACGCCGCATTAATATTGAATCTTTGCTGCTGCTTGCCCTGAAAGTACCTATATAAGGTGTGCCAGCGTCTTGCCTAGTAACTCGGCTATCTGCCGATTTCACTACTAGGTTGAGCCCCTGGCTCCTTCAGCAGCACAACCAAACTACGTACTACGTTGCGAATGGCGTCGAAGAACACCAGTCAAGACAAAACAGACAATCTGTGTTATCTTCTGCGTTCCTATTTTCGCGATCCTATTCTGCGATCCTAGTCATCACAAAATTATTAACCACAACAAACGCTCTGATTTTACCACAAGCCCCACTCGTGCACTCCCAGATGCGTCGGAGTTCGTTTGAATTTTATTCGACGAACATACCCGACGGAGTTCCATCAAAACACGCAGAAAATCGGCAAAGAGATACATTATATCAGGGCACATGCGTGCAAAGCACAGAAGGGAGCGGTATAAGTGTAGAACAAGCTCATGTGCCTCATAAGTTCATCACGTAAACAGCAAGGACTGATCCGATTGCTCCAAATCGACCAATTATATTCATATGTACGGCCTGCCTCTCCTTATTCGGCCTTTGTAGCATTTTGGCTCGCACGTGCTCACGTCTCTATATTACGTGACCAGAGGCAGTAACTCGTTGGTACAAGCATTTTCCCCTTGCTGTCAGCCGTGCCTTCTGCGCTTTGCAAGAGTGGCATAAAAAAGGCCTTTAAAAGCACGTGTTGGCGCGTACCACACCATGCGTATCGGGCGCAACACGCTTTTGCCGTGCCGTTCCGCTACGTGGCGCTGCACTCTCGATACATTGACTGGCTCCTCTAGTGAGACTTCTTTATTTTTTTTCGTAGTCATAAGCTCGTGTTATTTGTAGGAGAGCAACGTTTATAGTAAGTAAAAGAAAAAGAAACATGCTGCATTCAGTTGCGCCGAAACGGCGCGAGTAGAGAAGGAAAAAAACGGCGTCCATTTTCGCTTTTCGCCGACATGTTTATACAAACAGGGCGGCACGCCATTTGCGGCAGCCCGGGCTCACTGGGCTGTGCAGAGCGCTGAGGCGAGGCGCCACTAAGTCCCCCCCAACCCCTCCTGGTAGGCGGCAAGGTGCGATATGAATTTTGAAGTTGAAAGTGGCCGCGTTTTACTGGGGTTGCGAACGCATACTTAGTCCTCTTTTATGCCGAACACTCTGCCCTCAAATTGAAATTTCTTGGCAGGGCACTCAAATGGCCCTGTGACTTACTTCTACGTACCAAGCTATTCGCTACAAGTTCGCGAAGTTTCGTACACTAGCACAAAAGTAATGAACCTCGTGAACTGTGCACTCCTGACATTCGCTGAAGCGAAGAAGTCAGTCCCCTGACTAAGTTTGATGCAGTTGTACCAAGCTCACGTACGTGGGTATGATAGGTGACAAATGAACGAACTAGTGAAAGTGATTAACAGAAAAAGTGAGCCCCTAATGGCGTGACCCACCACAGGAACAAAATAAAGCTATTTTTCTTCCTTCCTTCCCTAATTCAGTTTGGTACAAATGCAGCAAACTCACTGGGAAGGCCAGGGGGGGGGGGGGGGGGGGGCTCTCTTTTTTGGAAGCATGCGCATTGTCAGCGCTGAAATATCAAAACGTCCAAACGCCTGTGGTTTTGCTTTGTTAAACCGTTGCAAGGATGCCGCGATTATTTTTCTGCATTATTTACATCTAGTAATGCAACAGAGATCCACTCCCGTGCTTTGAGGCAGACGACAAGCCTGCAAAGAAGGCTTACTTTGGGATTCCTTTTTTTCTTCGCTCTCACTATTTCTCACACTATCCCACAAACACAAGAGCACAATGCGTCCGAGTCAAAGACCAACGCAACCCAACCGCACCGGCACGAAGACGCTCCACACAGACTAAAGACTGCGATAGTTATAACGGGCACACAGGGAAAGAACCCAACCGCGAAAGAAAAAGCACGGGTATAAAAGCATGCTGCCGTGAAAAACAAGAGCAAAGTAGGAAGGAGCCCCTAAGCGAGCATTCGTGACTCTGCTATAGCAGCTCCCAGAATATGTGTTCTGTACTGACCCCTTCCGGCTTTTGCGGCGAGAGCAGCACGTTTCACGAAGAACTGAGCTCGATGCTCCCCTTCGACGCCCGTCTTCACCGCTCTTTCTTTGGGCCTTTCTTAAGTACGTCCCCGGAACGTATTCCGCCTGACGCACGCGGATATCTTTCCCGCCTATGCGTATACTATGGGGCTTGAAGTGTATATAGATGTACTCTGTGCTTCGGTAGCGATGAGGCGTTGTATAGCAAGTCCACTGTTCGGGGCTGCTGTCACGTATGGATTTTGCGGTTCGCCATTTCTGACATGACCAATAACGGCTTTTCATACTTCCACAGGAAAACAAGACGTGTTTTTTTTTTTTAAGGCAAGAAAAAAAAAACGGTGTGGGCGAAGAAAGCTTAGCGATAGGCTACTACTTCTCTTCGGCGAACACCGTCACGTCATACATCTTTCTTGCTGTCACCTTGGCGCCAAAATGAGAGACGCCGTAGATCAAAGGTTACCCGTTGAAACTTTGCTTCGGTGGAATACACTTCGGTGACACAAAATAGGCTTTAGATGCAGGAGACCAGGCCAACGCCGGCACAATATAATGGTCGAGGTCGAATGATGACTTCTTGGTATATATCTGCTGAATTACATGACCGTGGTGCACTTGTTGGTCCGCTCTGTTGGTTCATGCTGCGAGTCACTCGAGTTCACTGTGACGTTGCATGCACTGTATCCAGGATTAGTCAACCTCAGGAGATGTACTAAAATCTGTCCGAGCGTAGCTACGTTGTACTATGCGTATCAACTGTGAATGATGTAGACTTTTTCCATCATGCTTATTGATGTGGTATATACGGAGATGATAGTGCATAAATAAGGCGCCGGCTACTCCTTAGCCCTTGAGTGAATATTGTACACACTTCCTAATGTTCTTTTTTTATTTTCTCTTTAAGATATATGCTCATGATATTCCTCTCTCTCTCTCTCTTTTACCTCTGTTCTCTTTCCCACGACCAGGCTAGCGGATTTTACAGTCTTGCCATGCCTTAATTTTCGCACCGCCACCTCTCACTGTTCGAGCTGATGGGGTCGCGTTGCAAGTTCTGGATACCGTGGAGCCAGTCCTTGCGAGCATCCATTAATATCAGTGTACTGCATCTGAGACGGTCGAAGTCCACCTATTCTGTATGTGACGGTTTGCAGTTTCATGACCTCCTGGGCTTTTGCGGTATACGGCCTGCTGTGCGTGCCATAGCGTATTACTTAACATCTCTTTCCTTCTTTCTTTCTGCATTCTTTTTTCCCCTTTCCTTCTTTTGCCGTGTAGGGTAGCAAACCAAATGATACCTGGTTAACCTCTCTGCCTTTCTTGTGTCGCTCTTTCTCACTGTTTGGAATGGCAGGCAGTGTGCGTTGCTGTCTCTCAAGATCGGGTGAAAGAAGTACTCATCTTTGGCTGTACGCTCTTTGGAGCCAGTCACCCTTACTCATCCGCCCCGTCTCGAGAGAGAGTTCTGTAGGAAAGACCTGGCGGGTAGAGTCATATAAGAAACGAATCTTCGTGCTTACTTTTTCTTCACATCTAATGTCCCTCGTCTCACTCAGAAGACAAAAGGATCCTTAGCGGACGTGCGTTGCAAAGTTAGGGGACCGTTTTAGGAGGCGTCGCGGAACGAATCGGGAGTCGGCGAAGCCCTAACGGTCAGTATAGTTAGTAAATGGAGCACACGCCCTGAAGCTTACAGCTTACCGCAGCCTCGGCTGACTCCGGAAGCGAGCCCGTGCAAAGAAACAAAGGGGGGTGCGCTAACGGATTTGCCTTTGTGGGTCGAACTCCCGGGACCGATTGTTTTGGCGTCGTCGCGTCGCCATAGTAATTGCTCGATAAGACTTTCTTTCTTTTGGTTTTCTTTCCTTTTTTCTTTTTTTTTTTGCCTCAGGGTTCCCCGAGGTGTACCGGAGACAAACTGGGCGAGAAAATGAGGAAATAAAAAGCCTGTTGGTCGCCTTTACGGAATGAGTGCGCTTATATAGGAGTTCTCTAACGATGTCCTGCTGGCCTGATGGTTGATTTCTTCGCTCCTTGATCCTTTTATAGTTCAACAACAAAGAAACTCGTTCTGCTTTGGTTTAATTTGTCTGTTCTATCGCGCGGTAACACTGCCGATCAGAACGGCAGTTTCTATGCAGCTGATTCCCGTATGTTGCACTGCTTGCTATCTCTTACGTTATGACATGAATCGAGGCTGCGAGCTTTCTGCACTCGTAACTCCAGAATGTTAGAAATGGAGAACTTTTGAATAATAAAAGGCACTATGGTGTTCGTTCGATAGCAATCGCACCTTGGTAATTACGAAGACCTCCGAAAACCATGCGTGCCACAAAAATCGAGGCATTAGTTGTAGATATAGGTTTCGTTGTTGCCGCTGCAAGGTTTGTGAAGGTATTCTTCTGTTTAGATATACAATAATAACGTGGCGTGATATTTATTATAGTAAATGAATACGTAAATAAATTTTGTTTGTCTGTATTAACATGTAGAGAAACGTTGCGCCAGTAACGTACTGCTACCTTGTCAGTTCAATGATGATAACCGATTGGCGGCGTACTAATACACACTTCAACAAAATTTTTTCACACTTAACAAAAGTTGTTTTCATTCAGTTCCTTCCTGGTCAATTCCTGAATGTCAATGCTCCTGCCGTGCTGCGTCAAATCTGTGCCATGCGGTATTTTATAACGTATGCTGATAGGTATATAGCGAGCGTAGGGATCTATACACACGGTCGACCTCTGACCCAGTATCTTTCTTGCCCTTTTTCCACCAAAACAACAGGAGTGAGCCCTCGGCGGCGGAGTCAACGGGCGAGGAGGCCAGCACCTCGGAGGCGACCATGATCAGCCGGCGGAAGATCCTCTCCCGGTCCGGGACGAGCTGAATGTGGACTTTACCGTGGAGGACGAAGAGGACGTCTGGTACCAGAAGGAGAAGCTCTTTAAGGTGCGTAACCGTCCATCACCTTCATCAGGTCCGATACGCGTTTTCTTGTCTCTCGCTCGCTTTCTCTCGCGTTCGCGTAACCATAGCCTCCTCGCTGGCGTAACTCAACAGAAACGACCGTACACCTGCTGGCGCAGTACAACTTTCGGCAAAGCACGGCTGTCTGTTACACTATGTGCTCACTAAGGCATCCTGCTACGTTTACCGTTGACCACGTCTGCACTTATCTTGGCTTTCTTTTTTTTTTTTGTCTTTTCCCGAATGGGTGGCATGTCAACACGTCGTGGTCCAGGCGAGGGAAAAAAAAAGACAGAAAGACGCCATCGCACCCCTCGTACTTTGCCAGGACCCGTAAAAATTAGTTATTGCTTAATTTGACAAGTAGGGTATAGTGAGGCAAAATGCGGCAAAAGTTTGAAAACAGTGAGTATATATATTTTTATCCCACTCGTTACCATAAACGTCAATGCAGAAAGTTTCCTTTAGATATAAAGTGTGTGCTACATAGGTATGACCACGTTTCCACAGTTCGAAAGTTTATGATAAAAATAAAAAATTAACGACACCAGGTGTCTCGCTTTGCCTAATCTGTGGGGAAAAGTGAGACAGAGTTAAAAAACTTTAATCGGTTCAGTTGTTCCAGTAGCCCTCATGCAGACCTCATAAGCACAGTTCTTGCACTCCACGCAATGAATCCAGATTGACTCCAGCGCCCTCTTGCTCCTTGCAGATCAAACAGCGTCAGTCTTTCTGTGAGCTAATGTTTTTTTTTTTTTTTTTACGCTTACAGTTCATCGGATTGTTTAATGATTGAAATCTAGATATTTTCTGATGCCCCTTCTTCAACTTTCCTTGACATTTTGATGCAGAACTGCACGGGCCTTTCGTGGCTTTGGGACGCGATGAATTCTGTATTTTCTATCGCTTGTTACTTTTAAAATTTCTTTATGAAAAATTCTCACAAAACTCGATTTTAAGACGTATTTGTTAACGACTTTAGTTAGAGACTCTTCCAGTCTTTCATGCGCTTCTTGAGAGCATCCGTGGGGGCGCGGAACTCGATGCAGCGCGAATGGAGTGAGTGCTGCCCTCAACAGCAATAAGTGCTTTTTCATGTCGTTTTTGTGGAAGGAAGCTTTGGGTGATATTCGCGTTTTGCCCCTCTGGCATGCCCAAGTTTAAATATTTTTGCTTTGACCCCGGGCACCAAATCAACTAAACATTTGGCGGTAAGTAGCTAGACGTATTAAATAACAGAATACTTAGCTCGCTGTGCTCACGCATGAGTATAGGTTCATGCATGGATCCGGAATTTCGGTTGAGCCATATTTCACCTTCTTTTGGATGGCTCACTAACGCACCGACACTAGCCGCGTAATCTTTCCCGCGTAAACACTGCGAGCAACCATCAACTTTTACACCTAAAAAGGTAGACAAGTGTGTACAGCACTTATGGCTCGACAAGAGAAACAAAGAAAAGTAGTTTTTGTATTAGCTAGCCGGCAAAGCCAAAATGTCTCATTTTCCCCACTTATGACCTACATGAGCCAGCTAATATAAGTGCAGTATGGTTCTTTCCTTTTTCTTCCTTTCTTTGTCGTGATATGCAAGACTAACAGAGTGAAAAGTTAGGCATTTCTTGTTATATAGAACCTTTCGAATCATTTCTGTAATCAACACCACTTGACTTCCGCTCTGGAACGTCATCAACTAAGGTGTAACGGCACCCTCTGCAATATAAGCGACCCCGCCAGGCTGGCAAGCTAATTTCTCAAATGGACTTTGTAATTGCTCAATGTCCTCGGCATTGCTGCGATCGTGTCTGTCGCTACCATTTAAAAAGGCCCGCAGCATGAAATGGATAGACTCGACCTATACATACAGCACCGCTTCGCGGGCGTGTACAGTGTTGCCAGTCGTTGAGAGCCGGCTAAGCGGTTCGTTCCATCGCTCCTATTGCCAGTGTCCTCGAAATCACTTTAATGCCCCTCTTAATTGTCTCCCGCATCGAGAACTTCGTGCCCGCCGAGCAGGGCCGTGGTATAACGCGCTGCGCACGCACAGTATGCATCTGTACACGATGCGGCCCCGCTATGTCTCGTACACTCTCGCAGCGGTCGATGGCAACCACGAAAAAGCCGTTCGAGCGTGGACGATTTGCTCCTATCACGCCGTTGCCCGATCACGATTGTTACAATCATCAGCTTGTGCGAAGAAAACAAACACATACAAAATAAACGAAGGCAACAACGAACCGCAAGAACAATCTCGAAAGAAGCCGTGGCGTAAAGAGGTGCAAAAGGGGGCTAAGACACTCCAAAGTGAGCGGTGACCTAGTGCGAGTACACGCTGAAGCCCACCGTGGGTTCATGATGCAAATTCGCGCCCTACGTTCACGACTCCGCGCGAGGCCTTCATGATCGCCCGCTTGGTGCCCCTTCGTATCGTGATCACGTCGCATACAAGAAAGGCCACCTTTTTCTGATGGGCCCAAGGTCTCTCGCCTCCCGTATTCGTTCTGGGTAGCGTATTTTGTCACGCTCTTGTTGTTAAGCTATAGGAGGGGTCGCTCTGTACCGTTGCCTCATTCCGTTATCTCGAAGTCGGCGCGCCTCTTATCTACATCTACGGCCACCGAAAACGTATCGAGCGGTGCTCCTGTACGCGCTTCTGGTGCTTCGCAAAGGATACCGTTATGTAGGCTGACCACTGCATCCTTGTGACATGCGTGGAACATCTACTAGGCCTGCCATGGCTCAGTGAGAAGATGCCTGAATCAGGTTTTGAGAGCCACGTGTGGGATGTTTTCGAGTTCCGACATGCCTAGTACGAGACCAGATTAGCGAATCTTATCAGCAACTTTGAATCGCTTTGTTCTAAGAGTGTATGCCTGGTTGCAAGCGGTGGACCCAGGTGGCGCTGAATTGCTCGCGCCGACTGTGGACCTAATCAAGTTCTTTCACTCACTCAGCGTCCTTTAATTGATCGCTAGTCCATCTTTTCTAAACCGTTAATCGGCCAACACTGATAGAGGTGTTACATTCACTGGCTTGTGTGACTACTGCTTTTTTTTCTTTTTCACTTACAAGCAATGTTTAGTTGCATGAGCGAGTTTAGTTCAACAGAATTTCTCAGTATTCTTTCTTGTGCGGTGGTACGGAATGTCGCAACTCACACACACACAAAAAGATGCTAGTCAAGTTACCAAATTCCTTTACGAAAATAGCCTCGACAGTAATGAATAGAGGAACTTTTTTATTTTGCAGTTTAACTTACGTGAAACACGCCGGTCATGTCAAGACGGAAGAGAGAAAGGCTGTGGTTTACCATTCGAACACGCCCGAGAGCTGAGCCGACTCGTGCTTACGATCAAGTGCCCCACAGATTGGCTACATGTTGACGGCCGCGCGATGGCAGCCCCACGTGTATCAGCTTTTACGACGAATGCATTCGCAGTCGTAGTCGCCACTTCATATGCATTTAGACTTTGACGAAACACTTGTGCAAGACAGCGTTGTACCAGAATCGTATTCCCTCAGCGCTCTGTAATTGCGAGCAAGTATCATCTGTCAGAAGTGTCGCGGCTGTCGGCACGGCACTCTGCGAGTACGTCAGCGACGACGCTGAGGTAGAGGGCGCTAGCGAACGACCAAGGCACGAACTGCGTGCACGAGTACGTCGTTTCGTAATCTTGGGTGCTACGCTGTGAAAGGAAGTACGTTTCGCGCGAGACATGTGTCACCGACGATGACGTCCTGGCGGGAAACAGAAACAAAGAAAAAAGTTGACACCGTGCAGGTGCGAACTTCCGCCACTGCGTACAACAACCCACAGAGGCAAAAAAAAAAGCGCACGCGTATAAACAAGTGCACCGTACACCCGTGCCGTTACGTGCAGTATGTACGTTTGTAAACGCACGTTCTCGCACGCGAGCCTGCCTCGTGATTCGGGGGAGTCGCAATTAAACCCCGCTTCGTGACGTCGCTTAAGCCGCAGGCACGCGAGCCCGGCGCAAGCCGAGGAAGAACAGCAGGGCCAGCTAGGCGAGCGAGTTGTCTTGCCACAACCGAAGGGGCCAAGTGGGTCACAGTCGAAGCCCCGTTGGTCCAAGGCGATCGGTTGAGGGGGCTACGCGGCGGGGTGAGGTCTCGGTGGGATCGCGGCTGATGGAGATTCGTGATCTTCGAGACAGAGAGAGGTAGAAGGATGTTGGATTACGGTTGATGAGTCTGCTGCTCTCTGTCCCTGTTGCGAGGAACTGGTCGCGTGTGCGTTGTAAGAAGCGATCGGAGAACGTTCATTTTCGATGGGAGGCCGAGTTCACGTGCAGTTATTTCACCTTTCGGCTCGCTCCGGCCGCGAACTGATCAAGGCGGCGTGGTACTCGTTGACCTCTTTGCGTGTCGTGAGCAATAGGCGAACAAACGAACGAGGACGCGCGTAATAGCGATATAAGGAAGAATAAATGGCTCTACGCACGCGTAGACGGAATGTTAAACGTCGAGTTCAGGGCCGGACTCGGTGTCCTTTGAGCGATCGCCGTCAGCGGCCGTGGCAGTGCCCGACCATACGCAAGGACAGTGTACATGCAAATAGTAATCCGCGCACATGTCCTGAATGTCGACGTGCTTAAAAATGTGCAATAAAGACAAAATATACGACATTTGGTCGACACGTTCTGACAGCGGCAACCATTTGATTAGCATATAGAGGGCGCAAAGAAAGAAAAAAAAGTTACCGTGTCGCGCAAGATAAGTGCGGAATCGCCCTTAGGACGGGAAAAAATGCATCATAAGAAGCTGAACAGCACGAACAAAAATAGATACCAGCAAACGAAATGAACAAAAGCCCGAAGGAAATAATGTAAACCCGTAAATAAGCACGCCTTCGCATCTATCTTGTGTATAGGTTTTATTTATTTTTTTGGTTTGGGGCTGGTGGTTGTTGAAGCAAGAGGGTCTCGATAGTCCAGCGTTGTGTACGTCAAGTAACGTGTTTGT